AGGAAGAAAGGAAGGGGGGCACTGTGGGTCAGACACAGTAGTACAGTCTGTAGTACTGGCTACTCAGGAGGCTGAAAAAGGAAGATATTGAACCCAACGATCCAAAGACAACATGGCCAGCAAAGGAGACCCTGTCTCTAAAACAAAACAGAGTGGCACATGCCTATAATCAAAGCACAGAAGAGCATGAAGCTGGGGATCAGGATTTGAGACCAGACTACATGAAACCTTATCTAAATAAATAAATAAATATTTTATATATATAAATAAATATTTTTATATATAAATAAATATTATTTATATATATATATATATATATCAGCAGTTAGGAGGCTTGCTGCTATTTCAGTGGACTGGAGTTTGGTTCCTAGTACATGTGAGGCAGTTCAACCACCTGAAATCCAGCTCCAGAAGATCTAACATCATCTCCTGGCCTCTGAGACTAACCCACCCACCCCCGTGCAACACACACACACAGCAGACATGCAGACACATATACACATAAATTAAAAAATTTTAAATTTTAGTAAATTAAATAAAATTAAAATTCTACGTCAGAGGTGGTGGCGCGCACCTTTAATCCCAGCACTCAGGAGGCAGAGGCAGGTGGATCTCTAGAAATTAGAGGCCAGCCTGGTCTACAGAGTAAGTTCCAGGACAGCCAAGGTTACGCAGAGAAACCCTGTCTCAAAAATCTAAATAAATAAACAAGACAAAATTCCAGCCTGGTATGGTGGCCCACGGCTTTAATTCTAGTGCTAAGGAGACAGAGGCAGGCAGATTTCTGTGAGTTAGGGGTCAGCCTGGTCTACAGAGCCAGTTCCAGAACACCATGTATGTAGAGACCCTATCTCCAAAAGAACAAAAAAATGAAAACTAAAAATAAACGTAACTAAAACACATACTTTGGACAAAGCCTCCCTTTTGAAAGGATGGGTATCAGGTACCTCACCTCCTCTAGCTCCTCTAGCGCCTCACACAATGCAATGGCACCCGGAAAGGAACAATGGGTCACAGGGGACTGAGAATCCACAGGAAGAGTAGGGAGAGGTGGACTGTGGAACTGGCCATAGGAAAAGGCAGGGCAAACCTTAGTCTTACTGGAAGCTATTTAAAAACCTAACTGGTTCTACAGGCTTTCTTTTTTTTTTTTTTTTTTGGTTTTTCGAGACAGGGTTTCTCTGTGTAGCTTTGCGCCTTTCCTGGAACTCACTTGGTAGCCTAGGCTGGCCTCGAACTCACAGAGATCCACCTGCCTCTGCCTCCCGAGTGCTGGGATTAAAGGCGTGCGCCACCACCGCCCAGCTTTTTTTTTTTTTTTTTTTTTTTTTAAAGATTTATTTATTTATTATGTATGCAGTGAGTGTTCAGCCTGCAGGCCAGAAGAGGGCACCAGATCTCATTCTAGATGGTTGTGAGCCACCATGTGGTTGCTGGGAATTGAACTCAGGACCTCTGGAAGAACAGTCAGTGCTCTTAACCTCTGAGCCATCTCTCCAGCCCCTCTACAGGCTTTCTATGCATACTCCAAGAGGGGAAGAGCCAAACCAGAAACCTGCTGCATCTATGTGAAACTGAGGGAGAGCGGGCAAGGTGGTTCATGACTCATCCCAGCACTTGGGAAGCTGAGGAAGGATCCTGAGTTCAAGGGCAAGTTGAGGTATATGATAAGACTCGGTTGGAAAAATAACGAAAAAAGCCTGACAAGATAGTGCACTCTTAAAATCCCAGGACTCATAAGGCTGAGGTAGAACTGCTGTGAGTTCAAGGTCAGGCTGGGCTACACAGCACGTTTCAAGCCAGCCTAGGCTCTACAGTACATCCCTAGCTCGAGACCGCAGCCAGACATGGAGCAACTCTGCAGTATCAGCAGATGGAAGGCTGAAACAGGACTTAGAAATTCCAGGTCAACCTCAGCTACATAACAAGTTCTAGGACAACCTGGGTTACGAGACCCTGTCTTAAAAAGAAAAAAGAGGGGCTGGAGAGATGGCTCAGCAGTTAAGAGCACTGGCTGCCCGGGTTCACTTCCCAGCACCCACCTGGCAGCTCACAACTATCTCTAACTCTAGAGATGTGAGACACTCACACAGACACACATGCAGGCACACCACCAATGCACATAAAATAATATATTAAAAAATAAAAATGTTTAGTAGCTTTTCTAAACTGCAAATTTCCCAGTCCCAGATCTATTCATCCCAAATCTAGATTTATATTTAGAAGCTAGGGTAGACAAGAAGACAAGTCGGGGGGCAGCTTGCGTTACCCACTCTCCACCGCCCCCCCACCTCTGCAAAAACAAATCTTAAATCTTTATTTTGAAAAGGGACCCCTGTGACCTGATTACATCAACCATGCCTGCAAACTGCTGGCTTGGGCCACTCTCTGCCCTCACACAGCAACAGCACCATTAGTCTGGCAAGGATACTTTGTTTTCATGGTGATTTTTAATAACTCAAAATACAGAATACCAGAAAGGGACAAACTTTTCTCCCCTCATTCCTGTCCCCAACTACCATTCACTCTTCCTGAGCTACTAATATCACAGTTATTTACCTAATACACAGGCAAATAGAAACAATTCCTTAAGGGCAGCAATGAACTTAAAGAAATTATCTGCTATTATATATATACTATATATATATATATACATATATATAATATATGACTTGTTATTTATATGAACAAACCAAGGTACAGAACCAAGCATGTCTTCATCTTTTCTATCAGTACACACAGCATCCCTTTCTCTTTTAAATCCATTATGTAGCCCGATGTGGTGGTGCAAACCTTCAATCCCAGCACTTAGTAGGCAGAGGAGGTGGATCTCTGAGTCTGAGGCCAGTCTAGTCTACAGAGTTCCAGGACACCCAGGGCCACACAGAAAAAAAAAGAGAAACCCAGCTTCATACCACAAAAAAACAAACAAACAAACAAACAAACAAAAAGCAAGCCACTATGTAAAGCCAGACTTGGTGGTGCATGCCTTTAATACCAGCTTTCAGGCAGCAGAGGCAGGCAGAACTCTATAAATCCAGCTTTTGAAGCCTGGAGACAGAAATGATATGCCTTCTATACCTGCATATTGGCTGCCTGTGAAGGTGGAAGCAGTCATGTTTCTAGACGTGTGGTTGGCCTGACCATCCAGAGCTGGGGAGGTGACTAGATGGATAAAGTGGTGGCTTTGTAAGCATGACAGGAATTTGGAACTTCAGCACCCACATGAAAGCAGGGCTGGTGTGTAATGGCTGACTGTGTCCCTGTACTGAGTACGGAGATAGAATCCCAGATGCAAACTGGCTAGCTAGCCTAACCAAATCATTGAGCTCTGGGTTCAACAGGAAATCCTGCTTAGTAAACAAAGAACAGTGATTGAGGAAGACAGCTGACATCAACCTGACTTCCACATGTGTCCACTTACACGTGAACACAAACAAATGCAACAAGGGAAAGCTCCAGATTGACAGCCAGCAAAGACAGAAATCTGTTTTACAGAAGCAGGGAATTAAATTCTTCCACATCATGGGCTGAGAAATGGATGTGAGCTTCAGAGGAAACAGCCCACCTGTTCTGTACTCTCAGAAGACGGATGAAAGTTGGCGTGCTTGATGTCTGAGCTACAGAACTGTCTGATGAACAGCGTGCCCCTTTTGGTAACTGGATTTTGGGACCTGTGTTGAGGCAGCCTGAACTTGGAATTCATTCACCTCTGCACAGATGCCAAATCAAGTGGTCTAGAGTACAGAAAACCTACAGCGGGGAATTAGCAAACTGACCGTCTCAGTGCTGTGCTGGCTTAGTTAAGTCCTGTTGTTTTCGAAGGCCGATTCCAGATGCTGTGAAGTTGACAATATTAACCACATCTACGGAATCTTTTCGGAATTAAATACACAAGTTACATCAACTCAGAAAAAAAATCTGCATAATTTTACAAACCTTGTAGCTATGAAGCCACTTACTGGCAAGAAAGCTGGAAGTGGCAGTGCACACCTGTCATCCAGCACTGGGAGGTGGCAGTAGATAGGGTTAGTCCAAGGCCAGCATGGACTACGTGAGACCCTCTCCTACACTGGGCCCCCACCACTACCACCACCACCACAGCAAAAGACTAAGGAGGGGATCTGAGAAAAATGGGGAAATGGCTAAAATGGGCAGAATAACTCACAGGCGTGGATAATAATCAGAGTTCAATCTTGGGGAGTCAGATGGTAGAGAGAACCAATTCTCACAAGTTGTCTTCTGACCTCCACTACTCACCACATATATACACAAATGAATGTAACAAACAAACGTTTGGTTTTTGAGATAGGGTTTCTCTGTGTAATAGCCCTTGGCTGTCCTGGATCTTGCTCTATAGATCAGACTGGCCTCGAACTCAGAGATCCACCTGCCTCTGCCTCCTAAATGCTGGGATTAAAGGCGTGCACCACCACCGTCTAGCTATGAAATGAAATTTAAAAAAAAAAAAAAAAAAAAAAAAAAAACCACACAAAAAAAAAAAACGTGTTGATGTCCAAGCCAGGTATGGTAGTACACACCCATAATCCTAGCATCAAGACTAGCCTGAGCTTCTAAGATCCTATCTCAGCTAGGCATGGTGACGTCAACATCATCCTCCACTACAAGCTGACTGAGGTCAGCTTGGGCCACTTGAAAAACAGGTCTCAAAAATCAAACAGGTAAAGCTGGGCAGTGGTGGTGCAAGCCTTTAATCTCAGCACGGGAGGCAGAGGCAAGCAGAACTCTAAGTTATCTCAGCCTGATCTACAGACCAAGTCCAGGAACAGCCAGGACTACACAGAGAAACCCTGTTTCAAAAGAAAAAAGAAATAAAAAAATCCTATCTGAGCATCCAAAAGAAGTTTTCCAAAGTCCTGAATGAGGAAATCTGACTAAACAGACAGGCAAGCACTCACACCATGGCCAAAGACTCTCGAATGTGGGACGTGCTGGACAACAAGCTAGCAGCACACAGCAGGAAGGAAAAAGGGACACGCTTTTAACTAAAACAGCTGACAATTTTATTTTCACATTTCACAATGTCAGTGAAAGCTGCACTTTTTTTGTCCCACTTCTCTCTGTTCGGAAGGGGAAGCCTTCCTGTCATGCAGCTAGAAAACACTCAGGCTCAGCACCGTCATCTCCTGGTGAAACAGAACAAGAAGTACAAAACTGAAAAAGAGCCTTTCTGCTCTTATCTGTCTGGCCGAGTCATGCCAGGCCGAGTGGGCACCATCATGGGTCGAGCAGGAGGTCTCATCATTGGAGGCCCAGGCATCATGGGCATGTGGCCTCCCATAGGTGGCCTCATTCCAGGAGCTGTAAACAAAACGAAAGACGAATGAGAAATGACATTCATGAGACAGTACTATGGGATTTCTTTTCTTTGCGCCTTTCCTGGAACTCACTCTGTAGCCCAGGCTGGCCTCGAACTCACAAAGATCCTCCTGCCTCTGCCTTCAATTGAGCTGGGCGGTGGTGGTGCACACCTTTAATCCCAGCACTTGGGAGGCAGAGACAGGACAGATCTCTGAGTTCGAGGCCAGCCTGGTCTACAGAGCAATTCCCAGGACAGTCAGGGCTGCACAGAGAAACACTGTCGAGAAAAAAAAAAAAAAAACTAAAACGTGGACCCTGAAAAATACTAGAAAAAGACACACAACAGAAAAAAAATGCAACAAATTAATCAAATTTTAAGTTACTTAAGACATCAAACTAAGGTAAGTCAGCACAGAAAGCTCTGGGAACCCTGATGTAGTGACAGCAGTGGCTATAAATAGACCACTGTTCACAAGGCACCAGGGACACTAGTTCTGCCTTGCTCAGTTTGTTTGTTTGGTTTCGTTTTTTGTGTTTTTTGTTTTTTGCTCTTGTTGCTGTTATTTTTGGTTGAAACAGGGTCTCTCTATTATATAGCCCTGGCTGTCCTGGAGCTGGCTATGTAGACAGGCTGGCCTCAACCCCTCTGCCACCCAAGTCACTGAGATTAAAGGCATGTGCCACCACAATTACCCTGCTCAGCTTTTTTAGTCAATTATCTCCACCATGTAACAGGAGCTGTCTCCTCCATGTCCAGTCATAGAGGACAGTCTTCCCATTAAGTGACTTCTGGGAACTATGGGAAGGTGATCAGACCCAGGCTGAAAATCTGATAGTAACTGCAGTTAGCCCAAATCACGAAAAATAGCAGGCCATCAGGAATTATACCAAATGGAATACACAGAATTTCATTTTGCAAATGCAGTTTAGAAACTATTAATCAATTTTGTATGTGTCTGTGTGCCAGGGAGGAAAAGGCAGGCAGCAGAAGGTAGGGAAGCAACATGGCAGCCTCAGTGACTGTTTAGTGACTGTCTACTCCTCATCTGGATGTGGGCTCATCAATATTCATTTTGCTATTATGCTCTATAATTTTTCTGCTGTATAAATTCTTTTTAAATTTAACTTTATTTTATGTGCATTGGTGTGAGGGTGTTGGATCCCCTGGAACTGGAGTTACAGACAGTTTGGAGCTGCCATGTGGGTGCTGGGAATTGAACCCTGGTCTTCTAGAAGAGCAGCCAGTGCTCTAAACCGCTGAGCCATCTCTCCAGCTCCTGTATAAATTCTTTATAAATATCGAATTCTGCAAGCATAGTGGCACTTGCCTGTTAATGCCAGCACTTGGGTGGCAAAGGCAAGATGAGCAAGTTTGAGGCCAGCCTGGTTACTTAAGCTCCAGGCCAGCCAGGGTTACACACTGAGCCTTTATCTTTAAAAAAGGAAATAAAATAGTAAGCTGGGGGCAGGCTCCACTGAAATTACAAATGGATCCTGTAATTGTTTAAGTAACTAATTTTGATTAAAGCTTGTGTTATAAATGGCTCAAGAAGGGGCTGGAGAGATGGCTCAGAGGTTAAGAGCACTGACTACTCTTCCAGAGGTCCTGAGTTCAATTCCCAGCAACCACATGGTGGCTCACAACCACCTGTAACGAGATCTGGTGCCCTCTTCTGGCCTGCAGTCATACATGCTGTATACATAATAAATAAATGAATCTTAAAAAAAAAGCTTCCCAGGAAGATGGAGCCAGTTCACAACCCTGGCCATTCATTAAATAAATAAATTAAATAAATAAATAAATGGCTCAAGATATAACCATATTCAAAGTTGGATGATGGCCTGTAATGCCAGCACTCTGAAGAGACAGAGGGTTCCTGAGTTCAAGGCCATCCTGGGTTACAAGAGTAAAACTATTTTTTAAAAGTCAACATATCCTTTCCCCCACCATAGGAAGGCGATTGATATAACAAGCACTCCAGCACGGGTGCGCGTGTGCACACACACAGACACACACACACTCACAGATAATGTGAGAAATGACAATAGGGACAGAAGCTGTAAGGACCAGTGTCAATGGCAGCACGCTCTCTGTACTCTGAGGTCCACGAGCACACTCACACTTGGCAATCTGTGTATGTGTGTCTACAAGAAACTGCTCCAGATAAAACATTACACACTGGGCACCTGAGCATTTGTTCTCTTTGCCATCCACAGTGGACTGAATTCAGATTTGCCAATGTGATTTCATACAGAAATCGTAGGCTCTTTTCATCTTTAACTTTACTATAAAGTCTGGGAACACATATAGGGTAGTAAGATGGGTGTGATGGCCATCCGTGTCTTTAGACCCAGCTTCAACGTGTACACACCCTGAGAGCCAGCCCCTGGAAACCTTCTTTCCCTTTCGCCATCATTTGTTTGTTACTGTTTCGTTTGTGTGTTTTAAATAGGGCCTGCTACAATGCCTATAGTGCCTCAAAATATTCTGAGTAATTAGGATCACTCAAGAAGGATTACAGGCATGTGCCACCATGCCCAGGTAGATCTCTTTCAATGGCTCACTCATTCCCAGTTCCCAACTCTTTAAACTAAGTATGTTATTTTGTGACACTAATTTAGAGAACAAGCAGGTCACAGTGGCACAGGTCTTTTTTTTGGGGGGGGGGGGGCCGCGGGTTTCCGAGACAGAGTTTCTGTGTAGTTTTGGTCCCTGTCCTGGATCTCACTCTGTAGACCAGGCTGACCTCGAACTCAGAGATCTACCTGCCTCTGCCTCCTAAGTGCTGGGATTAAAGGCGTGCGCCACCACTTGGCGACGTGTCTTTAATTCCAGCATTTCAGAGGCAGAGGCAAGTAGATCTCCACGAGTTCTAGGCAGCCTAGTTTACATAGTGAGACTCTGTCTCAGAAATATTAAATAAACAATAACTGCATCTAAATTACCTGGTTGTGTTTTGAGTTCCTAAGCCAGTAAATCTGTTCTCTATATTCTCCACCCTCTAACTAACAGCTACACAGGCCCACAGCTACACTGGCCAGAAAGCTGTTCTACTTTACACCTCTGTGCACCTTGTTTCTCCAGTTGAGTTGGAGGCACCACTCATCTATTTTCAAACCATGTTATGCCTGCCATTTTTAATACTGTAATTAGATAATTTAACTATTCCGAAACCAGTAAAATGTTTGAGAACTTGCGAAGCAGTGGTGGCGCACTTTTTAATCCCAGTACACAGGAGGCAGAGGCAGGTGGATCTCTGTGAGTTCCAGGCCAGCCTGGTCTACAGAGCGAATTCCAGGACAGCCAGGGCTACACCGAGAAATCATCTTAAAAAAACCAAAAGGAAGGGGGTAGGGGGATCAGAGGTAGCTGGAAGGCTCCAGGCTAGATGACCAGAACATTAATTCCCTCCCTAGCAAGGAAGACTCCAGGAACTAGATTTCACTGCAGTCTCCAACAACTTCAAGAAAATTGAAATTCCAGCTGAAGTGAGCACTGAGGAGGCAGAAGCAGGCAGATCGCTGTGAGTTCGAAATTAGCCAATGATACATACATATTCCTTTTCATATTTAAAATCCGCAAGGCCTTGGGTGCACTCCCAGGCTCTGGCAAAAAAAGAACTCTAAATAGAAGGTTTGTGGCTGTGGCTAAGAGGTAGAACTTGTAAGCACATCAAAGCACAAGGTTCAATCCCTGGCTACAAAAATATAAAATAGTTCTCATAAGTTTTTTTATGCTTCCTAAATTAAAAACATAAACAAAGGAACGCTGGGCATGGTGGCACAATCCCAGCAGAGGGAGGCAGAGGCAGGCGGATCTCAAGGCCAGCCTGGTCTACATAGAGAGCTCCAAGACAGCCAGGACTCGAGAGGGAGACCCTGTCTCAAAACCAGAAAAAAGAAAACCTACTAAGCCAACGGTTTCTAGTCTACTGATTAGGTAGTTAATCTTTGAGAGTGTATCTGCACTAGGAGGCAGCTCTGCACCAAACAAAGCAGAAGTCACCCTTCCTCTGCCCCCAAGACACAACAAGCTCATCCACCTCATCGCAAGTGGTCACAAGTCAAACCAAAAAACAGGAAGGAGGGATAAGAGGGGCAGCCTCATCCTGCTTTCAGAGCACAAGGCCATTAAATACTATTCGATCCTATTGACAGATCAAGTCTTTATCATTAAACGCTGACCAAAGTCAATGTTACAATACTTACAGCTAACAAAGAATGCCCCTTAATGCAGAACTAAAACTCACTGTGCCGCAACCAAAATGTGACACATTCCAACTCACCAGGTCCCACGGGCATCATCCCAGGAGGAGGAGGGCCCATCATTGGCATCATGGGAGGGCCTCCCATGTGGGGTGCAGGCATCATGCCAGGGCGAGGAGGACCCGCTAAAATAGACAATGGAGGTTGTGGTTAAAGCAGGTTTGCATGCTGACACTCTAAATAATAAACTTCCTATAGTTTCTTATTCTAACAGTAGAAACACAAATATAACATGTCATAACTTGTACTTTGTGATTAAAAAGCAGTAACAAAATCCCAGCAGTCAGGAGGCAGTGACATGTGGATCATGTGGATAGCTGTGAGCTCAAGGCCAACATGGTGTACTAAGCAAGTTCCAAAACAACCAGGGCTACACAGAGAGACCCTGTTTCCAATAACAGAACAAAACATAAAAGTAGTAACAAGCCTGACTAGACAAAAATGTAAAAATGAAGTGAGCCCCTACATTTGAAAGGCTCTGGAGTTCAGTATGCAGCTCAGTGGCAGAGCATGTGCTTAGCTTGTCCAAGGCCCCTGGGCTCAATCCCCAGGACATTCACCTCTAAGAACAACAAATCCCAGAGGCTAGACAATCACTCAGAGCACTTGGCTCATCTTCCAGAGGCCCCAGCACCCACATAGCAGCTTACAATCATCTTTAACTAAAGATCTAGGGGATCTTTTTTTTTGTTTTTCGAGACAGGATTTCTCTGTGCAGCCCTGGCTGTCCTGGAACTCACTCAATAGATCAAGCTGGCCTCAAACTCAAGCGATCTGCCAGTCTCAGCCTCCCGAGTGCTGTGATTAAAAGCGTGCACCAACATGCCTGGCATAAGTCAGTTCCAGGGGATATACTGCCATCTTCCGGTCTCTTCTGACACCAGGCACACACACAGTACACTTACATACATGTAGGCAAACTACTCATACACATAAAATTTTAAGAAATTCTACAAAATGTGTTTGTTGTTGTTGTTTGTTTTGAGATAGGGACTCACTATGTAAAAAGATGCAGACTAGACTCAAAGCTCGGGAAAAAAAGGAGGAAAAATCTGGAGGCTTCAGTGACCTGGAAGCTGCACAAGCACCCAGAGGGCCTGACAGGCCATCCGTGGGCAACTCCTCTCAGCATCCCAGTTCTTTGTTCACACCGTAATATACAAGATGTTTAGTCTCTCAGTCCAAGTCCAGTCTAAACCTTCCAGGGGAGCAAAAGGACAATGTGCTAGAGATCCTCCTGTCCACTACATGAACAGCAAGCCTTCCCAGAGAGCACAGGCTCATGATCCACTCCACTGTCAACTATCCAATTCTTACCTTTCATGGGGTTAGGTATGTTGTGGGATATTTGTACATTGTGTGAAGGTGTATTGCTGTGACTGGTGTAAAAAGCTGAACGGCCAATAGTTATGCAGGAGGTATAGGCAGGACATCTGGGCAGAGACAAAGGAGGAGGAATCTAGGTGTGGGGGAGATGCAAAGGAGACATGGAGGAAGCAGAATGGGTGGTACGTGACAGAAAACGGATTAAGAGAAATGGGTTAATTTAAGTTTTAAGAGCAACTGGGGCAAGCCTAAGCTAAGGCCAAGCTTTCATAATTAATAAGTCTGGCAGGGTGGCCAAAAGAAAAATCTGAATACATAGGTAAGTTAGAAATTGGGAAAAGACTGAGTTTATCAGCTACTTAGGTCTTCTGGTATTGTGCTCATACCAATAAAGAATTTAATTTGCCGGGCAGTGGTGGCGCACGCCTTTAATCCCAGCACTCGGGAGGCAGAGGCAGGTGGATCTCTGTGAGTTCGAGGCCAGCCTGGTCTCCAAAGCGAGTTCTAGGAAAGGTGCAAAAAATACACAGAGAAACCCTGTCTCGAAAAACCAAAAAAGAAAAAAATAATAATTTAATTTGTTCAATAATATCTATTCCTTTTGAGATCTCCAGACCTGGGGAGTCACAGAAACATTACAACTGAAAGTTACCCCTGAGGCAGGCACTATGATAATCCTGGTGCTTGGGCGGCTGGGGCTAGAAAGACTACTGAGTTTCGTAACAGCCTGTGCTACACATTAATACACTGCCAGCCTGGTGTAGTGGCACACACCTTTAATCCCAGCACTCGGGAGGCAGGTGGATCTCTGAGTTTGAGGCCAGCCTGGTATAAAGAAGAGTTCCAGGACGGCCAGGGCTACACAGAGAAACACTGTCTCAGAAAATGGAAGAAAAAAAAAAAAAGGAACTGAGTTCAAGTTCAGTTCCCATGTAAAGTCAGGCAGGGTATGTGCAGCTGTAATCCAGGCATTGGGGAAGCGAAGACAACTGGATCCCTGGGGCTCACTGGCCAGACTACCTGCCTAATTATAAAGCCCTAGATCCCAGAGAGAAACTGTCTCGAAAACTAAAGGCCAGGAAGATGGCTCAATGGCTAAGTCACTTGCTGCCAGGCCTGACAAACTGAGCTCTTTTCTCTCCATCCACAAAGCAGCAAGCAAGGACTCAGTCCTCCAAGTTTCCTCTGACTCCACATACATGCCACAGCATACACACTCAATAAAACACCAACACCACAAGGTGGATGACTCCACCGTCAGCCTCTAGTCTCCACGTGAACACATGCACTTTCACACTCACATAGAGGAAACTACACTGCTAAAGCTAATTCCATTTAGTCAACTACCTACAGTCAACAGTATTTGGAAGCCTACTATGTGGCAAGCTAATAATCAAAGGATAATCTGAGCAGCTGCACACTTTAACATAGAGTTTCAAACTTACGCAGACTGGGGGGAGGTGGGATCATGGCCCCTGCAGGAGGAGGAGCAGAGAATGGAGCTGGAGGTATCTTTCCTTGTTGAAATGCAGCCGCTTAAAATAAGCAAGAAAACAAACAATGATGTGTTAGGAATGCAGCAACCTGTTTACTAAAATAACTGCCTTCTTCCTCTGGAAACTTTACTTCCTGCTAGAGTATTCTAGAGTCCCTACGGGTGGCATTACAGTTTGAAAACCACGGAGACACTCAATTACTACCACTGCAATGGACTGACTTACTGATGAGGTGCTCTTCACTTCTACGGCTAAGATAACTGTCACCAGGCGAGTTGGTGCACACCTATGAGCCCAGCATTCAAGGCATGCTGGTGGAGGACGTGAGCACAGGAAACCAACTTAGGCAACATAACGAGACTAGTTTTTACATTTAAAAATTTAGTTTAGCCGGGCGGTGGTGGCGCACGCCTTTAATCCCAGCACTCGGGAGGCAGAGCCAGGCGGATCTCTGTGAGTTCGAGGCCAGCCTGGGCTACCAAGTGAGTTCCAGGAAAGGCGCAAAGCTACACAGAGAAACCCTGTCTCGAAAAACCAAAAAAAAAAAAAAAAAAAAAAAAAAAAAAAAAATTTAGTTTATAACTAATTCAAGTCAATAGTTTTATTTAAAAATATACAATCCATACACAAAGGCCAGGCTTTAAAACATGTCTCCTCCCACGTCCTGAGTAAACACAATATACTTTCCTTGCTTACTTCTACTGAAACAAATGTACTGAACCGGATGAGGAAGAAATAAATATTTGGAGTCAAAGACACTGCACTAAAGGAGATTATCATCTTAACAGAAGCCTACCACAATCAACTTTTTTATTTTTAGTTTTTTTCTTTTTTTTTTTTAAACTTTTTTCCCTGGAGAACATGAGACAAAAGGGAAAAAAAAAGAAAATGGAAATTTTCTAGGCCAGACAGTGGTGGCGCACGCCTTTATTCCCAGCACTCAGGAGGCAGAGGCAGGCGGATCTCTGTAAAGCCAGCCTGGTCTACAGAGTGAGTTCCAAGACAGCTAGGACTACACAGAGAAATCCTGTCTCCAAAAACCAGGAAAAAAAAAAAAGAGTGCCTCTACACCCTTTCTGACTTCCACATGTGCATGCGTAGGCAGACACCCACAAATACAAAGGGAAAAACAAAACAACTACCTAAACAAAACGCACCAGGCACATGTGTAATCCAGGGACTTGAGAATCTGAGACAGAGGATCCAGAATTTAAGTTCATCCTCCACCACCCCCAGCAAGCTGGAGGCCCACCTGTGCCATATGACACTAAGGGGATTTTTTGAAAAAGCTATGTTTCAAATACACCCCCATGATCTACAGTAAATGCAGTCTTGGACCCAAAACACAGAAGGTTCCTAATGAACAAAAAGAATATGGCAGATAAACAGTGGTCCAGAACACATACAGACTGTGTTTTCACAACAGTTAAGGTTTCTTTTGACTACTACTTTTCTTCTTCTTTCTTCTCCTTCTCCTTCTTCCTTCTCCTCCTTCTTCCTTCTCCTCCTTCCTCTCCTTCCTCTCCCTCCTCTCCTTCCTTCCTCTCCCTCCTCTCCTTCCTTCCTCTCCCTCCTCTCCTTCCTTCCTCTCCCTCCTCTCCTTCCTTCCTCTCCCTCCTCTCCTTCTTTCCTCTCCCTCCTCTCCTTCCTTCTTCTCCTCCTCCCCCTCCTCCCTCCTCCTCCTCCTCCTCCTCCTTCTTCCTCTGTTTTTGTTTTCCCAGACAGGGTTTCTCTGTGCAACCCTGGCTATAATGGAGCTTTATTTATAAACCAAGCCAGCCTTTGCCTCTCAAGCGCTGGGATTAAAGGCGTGCGCTGCTGCCACCACCACCCATCTCTACTTTCTTCCAGATTCACAAATATGAAAGCCAAAGTAAAGTCTCTCAAATCCACTTCTACATTTTCCAATTATTATGGAAAAACTGTCGATTGCAGGGACTGGAGAGATGATGGCTCAGCAGTTAAGAGCACTGGCTGCTCTTCCAGAGAACCCAGGTTTAATTCCCATCACCCACATGTCAGCTCACAACTGTCTGTAACTCCAGTTCCAGAGGGTACGACACCCTCACATAGACATACACACAGGTAAAACTCCCAACTCACATAAAAATAAATACATCTTTAAAAGAAAAAATTGTGGATTGCAATTTTGCAAAGACAGTTTCACATAAATGTGCTACAAAATCTTGTTGCCATTAACAGGAAAATCCTAGGCAATTCCATCTTCTCTACCCCACCTCCCAGTCTAACCAGACTGCACACAACTGTTCTCTAACGCATTATCTCGATGATTAATATTAATGTGTTCCTATATTCCTGGAATTCCTGGGAAACAAGTGACCTTCCACTCCACTCATTCAACACAAGCAAATAGCCCTGTGTATCATACAGAGCAAGTTGCTACTGTGGAAAACAAAGAGACGAAGATAAAAAAAAAGAATGGGACCATTCTACTACACTGGGACAGAGACTGAGACATACTTGTTTTGTCAATCAGGCTCTGGGCCTGCTCTTCCATCCATTTCTGGTAGTAGTCTTTCACATTCTCTTTGTGTTTCCGACCACTGCAGTGTGTCTTTCTCACAGATGGCTGTAAAACAAAAAGGTCATGTCAGTAACAGAAACAAAATTCCAAAACGAAAAAGCTGAAAAGCTTTGGCTCTGCATGGGTGGCCTGGCTAAGATGTTAAAGTACCTTTTACAAACACTGCCCTGCAGTGTACATCTTTACTAGACTTATTACCTAGCACACTGTGGCCTGTGAGTCAAACACCTGCTTTTCAGCACTGGAACACAGACACAGACCCTTTCCTCCTTGCCTCCCTCCACTCCAAACTAGGAATGGAACTCTGAGCTTCTGCATTCTAGCCAGTTGCTCTAGCACTGGGCTACACATCAGCCCCAACAAATACAGTATTCACTTACTTACTGTCTAAGGCTTCTCTCTATATAACAGACTTGAATATTATAAAGACTCCATATTTACAAATCTAAAATACAATCTGCTACTTTAGAAGAAGTGTACGTGCCCCTGGTCTGAACCATAGTGATATTTTAATGCCCTGAGTTTCTCCACAGGAAATAGTAGCTTCAATACACTTAAGCAACATTGTTATGTGTAGCAGGAATCTTAAAGAGTCTGATTAATAAAATCAAACCTGAGGCCAGGTATTGGGGTGAATGCTAGAAGATCAGAGAAGCAGAACAAGCCACAGCTACCTCACCTTGCCAATTCCTCAGCTGGTCCTGTTTCCTCAGACTGGAAGCTTCTGAGTCCTCATATCCAAATGGATCTCAGCTGAACTGTTGCTAGAAGCCTAAAAGCTTAACCAGTCAAATGCTTCTAGTTTCTGGTCTTCATGCCTTATATATCTTTTTGCTTTCTGCCATCACTCCCTGGTTTAGAGGCTCACTTCTTGGGATTAAAGGTGTGTGTCACCATGCCTGGCTGTTTCCAATGTGGCCTTGAACTCACAAAGATCCAGAGGGATTTCTGTCTCTGGAATGCTAGGATTAAAGACGTGAGTGCCACCATTTTCTAGCCTCTGTATCTAGTGGCTGTCCTGTTCTCTGACCCCAGATAAGTTTGTTAGGGAGCACAATATTTTGGGGAACACAATACCACCACAGTTATGAGAATACAGTACTTTAAGGTGGTTGTAGTGATGCATGCCTTCATTTCCAGCATTCAAGCTGGATAGTCTGGTCTACATAACAAGTTCTAGGCCAGCCAGGGCTATATACTAAGACCCTGTCCAAAAATAAAGAAATAATTTTCATTCAAACAAACTATAAACACCAAATTTTGTTGTTGCTAAAGGGTTTGTTTGGGTTTGGCTTTCGAGATAGGGTCTCCCATCGTAGCCATAAATTCACCACAATACTCCATCTCAGGCTCTCAAATGCTGGGAAAACAGGCATGAGCCTAGCTTTCTTGCTGTTTTTATTTTTCCCAAGGCCTTGTGAACTCTAAACAGCAGTCTACACTGAACTACATTTCATTAGGTTCTTACACTTCTTATTCCTGCTGATGAATAGTTAAGAGTTCCCACAGAAGCAGAGATGGAGCTGCAATTCTATAAATTAAGACATTTCTTTCCATTCTAATAAAACTTTTGAATAATATGATATAATCAAATATTTGAGTTGCAGGAGCACACTCCTAGGTTTTGAGGAAAGTTATTTTGACAAGGCCTCAATATGTATCCTAGACTAACCTGGAATTCACCATCTTCCTGATTTAGCCTCTCAAGTACTGAGATTACAGAAATGCAGCTTCTGCACATACAAATGTTTTCATCCTCAAGCCTGTTAAACCTTTATCATTCTGCAAATATCTTCAAATTACAAGGACCATCACTGGATGGGTGTTAAAAAGAAAAAAAACGCTTCCCAATTACTTTCTTGTTTTGTTTTATTTTTCAAGACAAGGTTTCTATGTGTAGCTCTGGCCGTCCTGGAACTCACGCTAGACCAGGCTGGCCTCGAACTCACCTGAGACCGGCCTGCCTCTGCCTCCCAAGGGCTGGAATTAAAAACGTGCACCACCACCCCCAGCCCCAACTACTTTCTGTGAACAGTTGTAGTAAAATTTCCAGCAGGCTGTAAAGCACGTACCTGGACCTAAATAAGGTTTTTTTTTTTAATCATATTTTGCATACAAGATTATGAAAAGACGCGCCACTTACAGAATCATGGGTCAGATACGTATCACAGTAGTCACAATAAAACCTGAAAAGACAAGAATATGACAATACTTAGCAGATGTCCAAACAAACAAAAAACCTCAAACTCAGATTCTAAGGCGTCAAACAAAGCGTTCTGACAGAATCCGGGGCTGCGTGGGGAGGGGCCGGGCCCACTCTGGAAGGGGGGCAAGAGCGCCTCGTTTCCCACCCCGCATCTCACCAAGACGCTCGCCTTCCCCTGGAAGCACCAAGAACCGGAACCCGCGGCCCGCCGCCTTCACGAAGACCCGACTGACCACCCCAACTCCGCCAGACCTCAGGCCCACACTCACTTAGGCATGTTGCTCCGCAGGCCGTTGGCTCCCCGGTTCCGCGCCGCCGGGAAATGACGCACACAGCCCGCGCCGACACGGCCTTAGGACGGAAAAGACGAGGGCGGGACTTCCGCTACGGATCTTTGCTTTGCTGAGGACGTCCAGGGAGTGTGCTATGAGTGCCTCTGAGGGTCAATCCGCGCTCACTTACTCGTGATTGGTTGTTCGCTCGCGGAAGTGCATTATTTCATTCTTTCAACAAAAGGTTCCAAAGAGCAGATTCTCTAGTATGTTCCCTGCTCTGCTTTAAGTGCTGGGAAAACAGCAGAACCGCTGGGCGGTGGTGGCGCACGCCCTTAATCCCAGCACTCGGGAGGCAGAGCCAGGCGGATCTCTGTGAGTTCGAGGCCAGCCTGGGCTACCAAGTGAGTTCCAGGAGAGGCGCAAAGCTACACAGAGAAACCCTGTCTCGAAAAACCAAAAAAAAAAAAAACAAAAACAAACAAACAAAAAAAAAAAACAGCAGAACCAAAGCAGGTAGGTGAAATAGATCAAATCAGTGGATAGTGATCAAAGTCCTACGCTTGGGAAAATGAAGCAGGAAGAGGGGAGCTCAACTTCAAAGAAAACGGAGAAAACTTATTAGACTACCACTGAAACAATTATTAAATTTTTCCAAGCAATAAAGCCAAATGTGACCTGCTTTTTATTTCCATCCCTTGCTGGAAAGATGGCTCAGGTTGGTTAAGAGCACTAACTCCTCTTCCAGAGGACCCGAGTTCTATTTCCAGAACCCCTATTTCGAGACATGGTTTCTCTGTGTAGTCTTGGCCGTCCTGAAACTCACTCTGTAGACCAGGCTGGCCTCGAACTCAGAGATCTGCCTGCCCCGGCCTAGAGTCCCCAGTTTTAAAACTGTCTCACTGCAACCATGGTGCGCACGCCTTTAATCCCAGCACTCGGGAGGCAGAGGCAGGCGGATCTCTGAGTTCGAGGCCAGCCTGGTCTACAGAGTGAGTTCCAGGAAAGGCACCAAAGCTACACAGAGAAACCCTGTCTCGAAAAAAAAAACTGTCTAACTGCTTCCTAGCTATGCTACTTTCTCTGAGCTTTCAGTTTCCGGGGATTTGAGGAAGAACAACTGTAAAAATGCTCATTTGGATTGAAGCGTTTGCTTGGCGGTTAAGGGCATTTGTTGCTCTAGCAGAGGACCCAGGTTTGACCCCCAATATCCACATGGTGGCTCATAGCCATCTGTGGCTAAAGTCCCAGGTGATCTGACAACCTTTTCTTTTTCTTTTTCTTTTTTTTTTTTTTTTTGGTTTTTTGAGACAGGGTTTCTCTGTAGCTTTTGGAGCCTATCCTGGAACTCGCTCTGTAGACCAGGCTGGCCTCAAACTCAGAGAGATCCACCTGGCTCTGCCGTCCGAGTGCTGGGATTAAAGGCGTGCACCACCACTGCCCGGCTCTAACAACCTTTTCTGACCACCGCAGCACCAGGCACACACGTGGTACACTTACATACATGCAAGCAAAACACTCGCACATAATAATATATAAAATATTAGTAATATCAAAAAATAAATTTAGAAATTGTTTTTAAAGCTCATACAGTGTCTAGTGCAATGTCTGTACACTTAGGCCACTATTACTGGTAGCTCTTCCCTAGGAAGAAGCTGACAGCAGTCCCTTGCCCACTAACAGTCAGGTGTTTGACCTCTCAAACGACACAGTGGATTGCCTTTTAACTTCAGCTCCTGAGAATGAGGGAGAAGTACCCAAAACTTGGAGTTATACTGCTGTCAAAGAAATACAGAAAAGCTACCATACCTTGGCCAGTTTGCAAAACCCAATTCCAACGCGATGTCACGTTAAGGTGGTGATTTCCACTGTCGCCTTCAGATAACTTGGGTCTTTACCAGTTCCTTAGTAACCTAGACATTCCCTCAACCTCTTAAATTCTTCCCCAACACTAAAGTTTCAGAATGTAATGCCTGGTTTACATAGGAAGTTACAACCTGAAACTGCCTCAAAAAGCCAAAATAAGGGACTGGAGAGATGGCTCAGCCGTTAAGGGCACTGTGCCCTTCCAAAGTACCCAGGTTCAATTCCTAGCACCCACATGGCAGCTCACAACTGTTTATAACTCTAGTCAAAGGGGATCCAAAGCCCTCTTCTGGCTTCTGGGCACTAGGTATACATGCACACAGACATGCATGCAGACAAAACACCCATACACATAAATAAATAAATAAATAAATAAATAAATAAATAAATAAATAAATAAATAAATATTAAAGTCAGTCCAGGGCACATGAGATTTTGTCCAAAAAAAAAAAAAAATACTGGGACTACAATTACCTTGTCCATCTGGCTACCAGGTGGCAGTACACACTATCTATCCTTGGCCAGTGAGAAGGAAAGAATGATTCATTAGTTCTTCTGTGAATGTTTTGCCTCCTTGTAAACAAAGAGTTTACGGCTAAGAATAGAAAAGTCTGAAGTCCCAGGCCTGGAGAATGTGTTGTCCTTTGAACCTCTTTATTAATCTAAAGCTATTAGAGCAACAGGTTTGGAAACAAGGAGGAAGCCAGGGAGGAACTAATGGCCAAGGCAGAAGAACAGGTTTAGCAGGTAGGCTCTGAGTAATGCTTACTGAGAAGGAGTTATTACTCACTAATGGGATGACTCTCTTTACATAGGCAGGATAGCTTCTCTCAGCGTAGTTTATTAGCACAGCATATTTTAAGTCTAACTCAAAGGGTGCCCTGCTAGAAAGCTAAGACAGGAACAGCCTTTATATGGTGTAACACTCTAGCATGACTTGAGGGTGTGGGAAGAAAACACGCAAGAGCGCGCGCGCGCGCGCGCACACACACACACACACACACACACCCATGCACCTAAAATGCACAAGCGTCCTGTTGCCCTGGGGTAAATTGTCTTGGCTCTTGAATGGAAAAACAAACAAACAGGAAACCACTAGTTATTAAGCACCTAGTTGGTGTCAGAATTAGATAAGGAGTTTTCATTGTTGTCTGATGGGATTGGATTTAAGTTTTTTTTTTTTTTTTTTTTCACTGATCATGAAACTGAGCCCCAAAGAGGTGACATAATCTGCAGGAAACTGCCAAGTTAGTAAGTGGTAAAGTCAGTGCTTGAGCGCAGACAGCCAGATCCAGTGCTAACCTCTCTGTGGAACACACAGCCCGTGTATGAGAACCTTTGAAATCTCAACCCGAGTGTAGCCTCATAACACCTTTGATGCAATTGGAGAGCCTTATTTTTTCCAGATAGGTCCTTCAAAGCACCAAGATATAGCCTCAGACAGACTGACTTCCACAAGAGATCATGCCTAAAATGCCTCTGAATGATATTCGTGACTGGGAAGTTCCTGAGGCAGGAGGACCAGAAGTTCAAATAACATGTGTAGAAAGTGAAAACTGATTCCCACACATGGTCTTCTGACCTCCACAGGAACATCTTGGCACTAATGTGTGCATACTAACATACAGAATTAAATTAAATTAAAATGTTTAAATATATCAGGAAGCATGCATTTAATCCCAGCACTTGGGCGGCAGAGGCAGGTGGATCCCTGAGTTCAAGGCCAGCCTGGTCTACAAAGTGAGTTCCAGTATAGCCAGGACTATTACACAGAGAAACCCAGTATTAAAAAAAAAAGTTTAATAATCAGGTATAGTGGTACATTGTTACTGGACTGGACATTGCTAATATATATATAATGGAGTTTTTATCTGAATCTGTCAAATGTTAATGGACTAGATATCGTTAATGTAATTCTTGAATGTATATATTTATTGGATATAGTGTGGGAGCCCGTTCTCGGGTTCCTCGTGGCTTTACCCAGCAGGTCCACATAGAGGATGATTAGGACCACGGGCCTGAGTGCAGGTGTCTGAGATGGTCTGCACTTGGCTGTGCTGGGGGAGGAGGTCTTTTGCTCCACCCCTTGGCATCTCTATAAAAACCCTGGGGCAGAGACAGTCGGGGCCCGTTGGAATAGGTTCCAGGCCCTCTCGAGGCTATCCTTTATTTTCTATCTGTTTATCTCCGCGATATTCTCCGCAATAAATCCTTCCATCTAATATTTCCTGCTGCTCGCACTCAAGAAAACTCTGGGGAACTGTGGGGGTGGTTGGGTAAACGCCCCACAATATAGTTTTTCTTGTATTAGTTATAAGCTTTTTTAATTTTAGACAAGAAAAGGGGAAATGTGGTGGTATTGTGTTCCCTGAAATATTATGCACCTTAATAAACTTATCTGGGGTCAGAGAACGGAACACCCACTAGATACAGAGGCTAGAAAATGGTGGCACTCACACCTTTAATCCTAGCATTCCAGAGGCAGAAATGCCTCTGGATCTCTGTGAGTTCAAGGCCACATTAGAAACAGCCAGGCATGGTGACTCATGCCTTTAATCCCAGGGAGTGATGGCAGAAAGCAGAAAGATATATAAGGCATGAGACCAGAAACTGGAAGCTTTTGGCTGGTTAAGCATTCAGGCTTCTGAGCAACAGTTCAGCTGAGATTCATTCTGGATGAGGACTCAGAAGCTTCCAGTCTGAGGAAACAGGATCAGATGAGGAATTGGCAAGGTGAGGTGGTTGTGGCTTGTTCTGCTTCTCTGATCTTCTAACGTTCACCCCATTATCTGGCTCCGAGTTTGATCTTATTAATAAGACCGTTTAAGATTCATGCTACAGTACATAGCTGTAATCCCAACACTCAGGAGGAAAGAGGCAGGAAGGTTAGTGTAAGTTGAAAGACAGCCTGGACTATGTAGCAAGACTCTGACTAAAATGGGGGGGGGGGGTTCAACATTTTTGCTCATGGCCCTGAAAGATGACCCAATGGGTAAAGGCGTTTGCACCAAAAGCCTGATGCTCTGAGTTTGACCCCTGGACTAACATGGTACAAGGGGAGAACTGTGGACCACAAGTCGTCATTTGACCTTTACCCACACACATACAAATAAAATCTTTTTTCACTTAACAGGCTGGAGAGATGGCTCAGTGGTTAAAGAGCACTGGTTGCTCTTGCAAAGGACCCAATTCAGTTCCC